GGCCCCGCCGGTGGAGCGCTACTGGCGTGGAGCGAGGGGGCGCGGAGGGGCCGCCGGCAGCCGCGGGTCGGGGCTCCTTCTGGGGCGCTGTCCGCGCGGGCGCAGCCCAGGGGTCCGGACAAAGAGACAGCAACTTGTGCCTCTGACCGGGTGCCCGTTGTGCGCCCGTGGCTGGGGCTGACCTGACTGGGACCTGCGGGCGGACGGATATCCAGGTACTGGGTGAGCCCGAGTGTGCCCTGGCGCGCGGACTCCCGGCGTGGGGAGCCCGGGACAAGCCACCTGGTCTCGGGACTGGCCGGCTTTCGCTGCCGAACGTGCCGGTGGCTCTGCCTTGGCAAGCGCCTGGCCTCCGCCGCTGCGCCGGCCGCTCGGGGGCTGGGGACTTGCCCTGTGTCCTGGCTGTGCGCACACGGTGGACCTTGGAACCGCCGGGGTCTCTCCGGCTTATGTTTCGGTTTCCGCCCGTGCGTGCGCGCGGGTGGGGGTGGGGTGTGTGCCCCTTCGCTGTCTTTCCGGATGGATGGCGCCCCCCCCCCCCAACGTGTTTCCCCCGGCCGAGGCCGGGCAGCCGCGGGGCCGTGCGTGTGTGTGCGTGATGCTCGGAGCCCGGGAACACGGTGTCAGCGGACGGCCTGGCTCTCGGCCACGTCCTCCGGGGGGCGCGCGGCGGGGGCGGCCCCGCCAGGCTTGCAGCTCGCACGTGTGTTCCGCAGCCACCGCCCGTTCTTGCGCCGATCCGGCCTCGCGGCGTTTCACAGACTCCTGCCACCTGTCTCCAAGTCACCGCCAGCCCTAGGAGGCTCCCTGGGGCGCTCTGGCAGGCGCTCGGCCGCTTCCCACCTGAGAGTGCCTCCCCACCAGCCTCCTCAAGGCATCCTTTCATCTGCCGCTTTGGTGACACCGTCTGTCCCTTTCAGAGCCCCCCCACGGCTCGGCTTGTTAACCAGGTCTGAGGAGCAGGAGCTGCAGGCCTCTTCCTCCCAGGCTGCTGCCATAATTGCTTCAGCAAGGGGGGTGGTGAGACGTCACTGCTAGCTCCACCCCGCTTCCCCAGGAAGGCCCTCTCTTCTTCTGAGATGATTTCAGAGAAGGAAAAAGGCTCCTCAGGCCCCAGGGACAATTTTTTTTAAAAAATGATGACCGGTAAGGGGATCTTAACCCTTGGCTTGGTGTTGTCAGCACCACGCTCACCCAGTGAGCGGCCATCCCTATGTGGGATCCGAACCGGCCATCCCTATGTGGGATCCGAACCCGGGGCCTTGGTGTTATCAGCACCGCACTCTCCCGAGTGAGCCACAGGCCGGTCCCCCAGGGACAATTTTTTGAAGACTTTTCTGTACTACCATGGTACCCTGAGCTTCTCTTTCCAGAATACTTGTCACATTTGGCACAGATTATTCTCCCCCAAAACAGGGTAAATCTGCCTTGTCCCATGTCCCCAGCGCTTGTCACAGTGCCTTACACATAGTGCTCTATAAAGTGTCTGGCTTGCAGAATGACATTCCCATCAGCATCTGAACGTGGTTGGTGCACAGTTGGGGAGAGTTTTCTTGTCCCTATTCTGTTGTTCCAGATTCCCAATTCAAACCGGGCTGGACTTAATCACCCTCTGCCCAGCCTGTCACTGGAGCCAGTTGCAGTCATCGTCTCTGTTCCTTCCAGCCTGTGACTATGACACTCCTCTGCCTGCAATACCCTCTCCCTTCCTCTTCTTTCACCGGCTGCTCCTTGGCCTCTCTCCCTCCTAGATACTGCCCTTCCAGGAAAGCATCCCATACCCTCCTCAGTGCTCCGTAGCCTGTCCTATTGTGGCACTTGTCACACTATGTTATCACCTGGTTTCACTTTTCCCTTGAAGGTGGGGACAGTGGCTTGTCCATGGCAGTAGCGCTATTCCTTGCCCAGCGTTGAAGACACAGCCAGATGCATGTCTGGCTTTCTGCCCTTCCTGTACATGGGTTCCCCTTCACACCCAGCTCTGGATTGTGTGCCTGGCTGTGCAGACCCCCTTGCCTCCAGATTTGGGCAGCTCACTGGTGCCCGTATTCCAGCCCTAGAGATGTCACCTATGCCAGTGCCCTCTGGGCATGCTCTCCCTCCTCTTCTGCTGGCTTCCTTCTCAACCTTTGCCTCAACAGCTCTTCATCGAGCACCTACTATGTGCCAGGTGCTCTAGATGCTGGGTAACAAAACAGCAGCAGCCCATGTCCTCAGGGAGGTGTAGGAGAGACAATGAACAAATCAACAAATTCATAAATAACAGTGTCCCAGGAAGTAAGTGTTATGGAGAAGGATAAAGCAAGGTCTGGGTGCACAAGAAAGGCCTCTCTGAGAAGGCGACGTGAGCAGACACCTGGGTGAAGGGAGAGAGTGAGCCCCGTGTGTGTGAGGAAGGACCTTCCTGACGGGATGCAGCGCGGAGTCCTGAGGTGCCACCCCCGGGCTCTTCACCCACTGCAGGCCTTCCTCAGCTCCGAGGCTCTTTCTTCCGGCTCTTTGTTCCTGGGAGGGGGATTGGAGGAGGCTGGTGTCTGTCCTCTCTCACTTTTGTCTTCATCTGCCTCTAGGAGAAACTGTCTGGGTCATTTTCTTTAGCTAGTTCCTACTGGCCTGCCAGGGGGGGTTCTCAAGAACTGTTTGTTGATTGACTTACAGACTGGCAGGGAGGCTTTCATGTTGACCAATCCCTCCCCCATACAGAACGTGGAAAGAAAGTGCTCTCTCCTCTCTTGCAGACGGCGGCCAGGCCCCCACGTCTGCCTCTCTGGGTTCGGGAGTGGCTGCTGCCCTGGCTGGGTGCCCTCCGTGGGCAGTGGGCACTGCACCCTGCGTAAGTGCTCGTCCCCATACCCCTAGCCTTCTCCACCAGCAGTGTGTGTTGCCAGTGCTTGGTCCCCAGTCTGAGGGGCAGATGGGGGGCCCCAGTGTCCAGTCTCTCACCTGCATTTCTCCTCTCAGCTCTCTGCTCCTTCGGCTGCGGGAGTGGCATCTGCATTGCTCCCAATGTCTGCTCCTGCCAGGACGGAGAGCAAGGGGCTACCTGCCCAGGTAACTGGGGAAGGGCAATGGTGGTAGGAACGGTGGAATGAACACTGAGATCATGTGCCAAGCAGCAGGCATTTGAGGTGTGTTCTAGTGTATAATCTTCCAATAGCCCTATTAGGTAGGCATTTTCATTCCCATTTTCTAGATGAGGAAACTGAGGCACAAAAGTTCTTGTCTTGCTCAGGGTCACACAGCTAGTAAGTGGCAGAGCTGGATTTAAACTCAGGCCTGTTTGCCTCCAGAGCCACCCTCCCATCAGAATTTGGGAGGAGCCCTGGTGAGATGCGGGTGGCTGGGACTGCTCAGCGGTGTGTTGTTCACCAGTGCAATGCCTGTTTTAGAAGCCCACGGACCCTGTGGGGAATATGGCTGTGACCTTACCTGTAACCATGGTGGCTGTCAGGAGGTGGCCCGAGTGTGTCCTGTGGGCTTCTCGATGACAGAGACAGCTGTTGGCATCAGGTGTACAGGTGAGAGGCCTGGGAGCAGTGGAGGGGGAGGGTGGGACTGATGTCTCCTCCCTGTCCTGCCAGGATGGTCTCCCGGAAGTTGCAAGAGCCAAGCTGAGCCAGGACAGGCTCTGACCTTTGAGAGTGGACACGGAGGCATACAAGCAAAAGAAACATGTCACTTCTGTTATTTACAGAGCACCTCTTACGGGCAGGAACAGAGCGAGGGGCTGGGGTCTTAAGGACAATCAGTTGGTCCCTGCAGTTATGGAGCTTCTGAATATGAAGAAGGGAGACAAACAACAGGACAAAGACAGCCTAGTGTAATGGGGACCGTAGCTGGGGAAGTACAAGGTGCCAGGGCCCATAGAGGGGTCCTGGACTGGGGGGAGGGGTGACCAGGGACGTTACCTTGGGAAGTGACATTTGAAAGATGACGAAACCTAAACTCAATAATTATTTTGTAAAAGTATTATTAGTTTGTGATTTAAAAAAGTTTCTACAGGCAAAGTCTGTTACCTTCCCCAGTGGCAGCTACTGTGACCAGTTTCTTGCCAGTCTTTCCAGAATGGCAAAAGCCTTTTGGGGGGCTGGCCGGTGTGCTCAGTTGGTTGGAGCATGGTGTTATAACACCAAGGTCAAGGGTTCAGATCCCTGTCCTAGGCAGCCACCTCCTTCCCCTGCCAAAAAAAAAAAAAAAAAAAAAAAGCTTTCTTGGAGTTTTAACTTTGTAAAAATAATGTTTCTCTCCCCGAATAAAAGATAATTCATTTCGGAACATTTGGAAAGTAAGAGGAGAAAGGTAAAAATAAGCATCCCTGGGAAGTCTCCATCCGGAGATGTTTATTACTAAAATGAGGTGGGTTCTTTTGGCCTTTTTCCTGGGTGTGCATGTGAGTGTGTGTACGTGTGTGTGTGTATGTATGAATGCATATATGTGTGTCTTATAAAATTGGGATTATACCTTATCTGTAGTTCTTGTTCATTATTTTTTCTGCTTAACTTTATATTGTGAGTATCACTAAATATTCCTTACAACGTAATTTTTTTTTTTTTTTGGTCCTTTTTTGAGAGCGGCCGCACCACGCTCAGCCAGTGAGTGCTGTGAGCGCACCAGTCATCCTTATATAGGATCCGAACCCGCGGCGGGAGCGCTGCTGCACTCCCAGCGCCGCACTCTCCCGAGTGTGCCACAGGCTTGGCCCTTACAACGTAATTTTTAATGGCTGTATACGTGGCTGTCGTAATTGAAATACCTTGTTGTCTGTCATCCTTCATTTGGGTGGTCTGTCGTGTCTCACTGCTACAGATAATGCTGCAATACAGAGGCTTCTTGTTGGCTTCTCTGATTATTCCCCAGAAGGAGAATGTTTGGTTGCAAGGGTCTCATTGCTTGCTCCACCTTCCCTCCAGAAGGGCTGGAGCAGTTGATAGTCCCTGAATGGCTTTGCCATGGGGTACTTCCTGCACACACTTCTCATTGCAGAGGCAAATTGGGCCAAGGACAGACCCAAGAGTAATGTCAAAGCAAGTGCAGGACAGGGTGGCATTGGCTGTAGCCACAATGGATACTGATGCGATGGAGTTAGTCAGGGTGGGCTTCTTAGAGGTGGTGGGTATGGTCTCCAAGAATCTGCCCATGGGAAGAGTGAATAGATGCCAGGTAGAAGGCTGAGTGTGGGGTAAGGAGAGTGAAGGTGTCCAGCAGGTATGGGGGCCAGGTGGCGGGGAGACTCGGGTGCAGACTGGAGTGGGCTGAGCTGTCCCTTTAGGTCCTCAACAGTTGTCATGGTTCCCAGACGGGGAAGGAGCGCCATGCAGCAGCATTTGGGGAGATCCCCGTTTCCCAGCCCCCTTCACCCCTTAGGCCAGAACATCTCACCAGGCTAACCTTCCTAAAGCACGACTGTGATCCAGTCACCCCACCTTGGGCACTCCTTTGGGCTCCTCAGGGAACTCCTTTGGGCTCAACAGCCTGGTCTTATCTTAATCCACCTCTGCAGTCCTGTCTCCCATTGCCTGGACAGGAACCTGAGCTGCAGCCAGCCTGGGCCTCAGTGCAGTCCCCAAGGAGCTCAGCTGCTGCCTGGAAGTTCCTCAAACCCTTTGTCCACTTGGATGGCTCCTCTTGATGCTACTGGTCCTCCCAGTTCGTTGTTCCTCCAGGGCACACGTGCTGTGACAGGTTGTTCTGGGCAGGGCATATATTACCTGACCAGCCGGCCTTCCACGGGTGTGTGTCCTGGCTCCTCTGTTATCAGACTGTAAACATCTGGGGAGGCAGTTCTGTTTCTGAGTCACCGTCACATTCAGAGCGGGCCTTGCAGGAGTGTCTTCTCTCTTCCCAGACATTGATGAATGTTTAAGCTCCTCTTGTGAGGGTCACTGCGTGAACACAGAAGGTGGCTTTGTATGCGAGTGCGGGCCGGGCATGCAGCTATCTGCAGATCGCCACAGCTGTCAAGGTGAGCAGGCAGAGAGGGGATGGCTGCTCTGGAAGTGGTAGTGACGATACCACATTGAACACTCAGCCCTGCCAGG